TCTATTCCTGGGGCCTTATTTTTTGCCATTTCCTTCAAAGCATCCTGAACTACTTCTTTCATCACCATAGGCTCTTGCTCATATGTTGTTTTATGAAATTCTTCTGTGTCTGCCAATTCCTTTCAATACAGTGACTCAGTATATTCTTTTAATCTTCTTTTAATACTTCCTGGATCATTTAACATTCTGCCTAAAGTATCCTTGATTATAGCAACTCGAGGTTTGAATTTGTTCTTCAGTTCCTTGAGCTTAATACTGGTCTGTAATTTCCCTTTTAATGATATCTTTGCATTAATTTAATTTTACAGTTATACTTGTTCACAGAATGTGTTCAGGAGTTATTCCATAGCTTTCTGTGTTATTAAATATTCAAGTAGAACTGGCTTGTCTGGTGAGTGAATGGTAGGATTGTCTGGTGAAACTATCTGTACCTGGTCTTTTTTTTTTTTTTTTTTTTTTTGACTGGGAGTGTTTTTAACGATCTGCTCAACTTCTTGTGTAATCTGATCATACATTCTACCTGTTTCTGTTTAAGTGGATGATGAGTTTCTAAGGATTTGCCCATTTCCTGTCTCTCTTTAAGTGCTTCTGTTTTTATGTCACTTATTTCATTTCTTATTTGAGTTATTTGCACCTTCTTAGATTTGCCTCAGGGACTTCCTATTTTATTAAACCTTTCAGCAAAACAATTTATAGTCTTGTTAATTTTATCTATTGTTTTTGTTTTCTGTTCCTATCCTTACCATTATTTCTTTTCTTCTGGAGACTATCGCCTTTTCCTGCTGTCTTTTTTCTAACTGTTGGAGATATGAAAGTGTTGATTTTGGTTTATTCTTTTTTTGACATATGTGTTTATTGCTGTTGACCAAGAAGTACTACTGATATTGCTGAGTCCCAAAGAGTTTGGTAGAAATTTTTCATTTCCTCTATCTGTATGGTTTAAAATCAGAAAAGGTATGTGTGAGTATCTTTTCTTGATACCTATTCAGTCCGTATGCTAAGCAAATTTGAAGCTGGATTCTGTGAAGAAGAAGAATATGACAGACATCAGGATCTGAGGAAGACTCATCAGCAAGCTACTTTATACTGATGACTCACCCTGCTTACTGAAAGTGAGAAGGACCTGAAGTGCTTGTTGCAGAAGATCAAAGACCTTCAATGTGGATTGTATCTCAGCATTAAGAAAACAAAGGTCCTTATCACTGGGCCAGTGGGCAACATCATGATAGATGGAGAAAAGATAAAAACTATCTGTGACAATGACTTAATTTTACTTGAATCCATAATCAACACCCTTGGTACCAGTAATTAGGAAATAAGAAGCATTATTGCTTTCGGCAAGTCCGCTGTGGAAAAGATGCAGTTAGACAGCTCCTTGGAGGCAAGGATGACAAAGCATAACTCATACTTTGGACATGTTACTAGAAGAGGCTGCTGCTGTGAAAGGTAAAGGGTTAGCAAAAGAAGTCCTCCAACAAGATGAGTTGACATGGTGACTACAGCAAATGGACTCAAGTGTATCAAAGATGCTGAGGATGTCACAGGGTAGGACACGATTCACATCTGCTGTTCATAGTCCCTGAGTCAGTTCCCATACTCTTGGTTGCCCCTCCCCCTGATCTGGTGGTTGATTTATAATTTTACAGCATAATCTGAGACAATGCTTTTAATTTGTGTTTTATTTTGTTGAGACTTGCTTTATGACCACACATAAGGTCTAATCTGGCACATACATGTTTGATGTTACTGGAGAAGAATGTATATTCTGCTTTTGTTGGTTGGGATGTTCTGTAAATGTCTATGAGTTGATCAATTATATTCTTTTAGTTCTGCATCTTTGCTGAGTTTCTTTCTGGTTCTTCTGTCATTCCTCCAGAGTTGAGGCTCCTACAACTGTGTAGTTGTTTCTCTCTTCAAATTTGATTTGGGTTACCTTCGTTTCAGAACTAATTAATTGGCAAATAACCTCTGTTGCCCCCGTATAAACCAATTCTGCTTTGAATTCTGGATCTTACTGCTTGAAATTTTTCTTTGTACCATTTCTTTTTCCGGCAGGGAAGTCTGGTGACCTCTAGAGGTGAGGTGTTGCACTGCTACCTGAGAGACCCACAGTTGTAATCCTCCACCTGAAGGAGGGGGGAGGCAATTTCCTCCTGTGTGATTCATAGCCTTCAAAAACTTGCTGCAGGATCAGGTGTGAGTTGGTCCCAACTCTGGCAATATGAAAAGAAATTTCTTTTTGAAGACTTCTTTCTTCATCAGCATACTTATTTTGAGTCTTGGGTTTTTTAAATATAATAGACTTTAAAAGGTCATTTGTGACTCAGACATTTATAACCCAGGGACTGCCTGTATTTAAAAAGTTTTGAGTTTGGGTGTTTTTTTGTTTGTTTGTTTGTTTTTAGGGAACTTATAGAAATGCTAGCGATTTCAAGAAATCAAAAATTATTACAGCCTGGAGAGGAAAACCAGGTAAGTTGATTTCTTTTGTAACTTTATAACAAAGCCAAATAGTATAACTATAGTTAACTTCGTATTAATAATTATTTTGCGTGTTGTTGTTTGTTATGTGCCGTCGAGTCGTTTTCGACTCATAGCAACCCTATGCACAACAGGCCTAAACCCTGCTCTATCCTGCGCCAACCGCAC